TCAGCGTGGCCCCGCCCCTCCCCGTGTGGCGCCGGCCGGAAGGAAGCGGTGCATTTCCGGTGGGTACGCATCCAAGCCGCGCCGCCGGAAAGAGAGCAGCACACTTCCGGTCATCGCCCCGGCTGGACCACATTTCAGTTGTGCAGGCAGCACCGGGCCGGTGGGCAGGGGCTTGCACGGTGGTGGTGAGGACGCGAGACGGTCCTGTCCACGGCATTGTTTGCATTTTTATTATTTTTAATCCGCACCCCAGGATGCTTTACCATTGGTTTTGAGAGGGTGGAAGAGGGAAGACAGACAGAAACATGGATGTGAAACAGCGACTGGGTGCCTCCTGCAGGCGGGGAGGAGCCTGCAACCGAGGTGCGTGCCCTTGACCGGAACCGAATCGGGACCCTTCAGTCCGAAGGCTGATGCTCTATCCACCGAGCCGAACCGGCCAGGGCGCATTACTTAGTGTTTAGTTGTGCGGTTGTTTTAAACGAGTTGCTTGGTTTTCTGTAGCAGCGATGATGAGCAGTGAGCTATGAATTATGGAGACCAGGAGCACTTTATGAAAATTACCGCGGGAGGAGGAATATTTTAGTCCTGAAGCGGTGCTATATAAAGCTTTCTTCTTGCCCTAGCTCGTGTGGCTCAGTGGATAGAGCCTCGGCCTGCAGACTGAAGGGTCCTGGGTTCAATTCCGGTCAAGGGCACGCGCCTGGGTTGCGGGCTTGATCCCCAGTGTGGGGCGTGCAGGAGGCAGCTGATTAATGATTCATGTTTCTATCTTTCTCTCCCTCTCCCACTCAGAAATCAATAAAAACATATTAAAAAAAAAAGCTTTCCTCTCTGGGAGCTTTAAAGCACACAGCATACTTTCCCTTGTGGGCCGTCCCATCTGTCACAAGTCCTCCATGCCGCTGCCCTCACTGGAGAAGAGCCACAGGCAACATGTAAGCCGGGGCGTGGCTGCGTTCCAAGGACATGTTACCTGCAGACGTGGAGGAGGGCCAGGTGTGACACAGGGCTGTCAGGTCATCCGTCTCTGTACAGGTGTCCACCAGCAACTCAACGTGAGCCAGGCGTGCAAGATTTTCCAGTCGTCACGTTAAAAAGATAAAAACGGGTGAAGTAAATTTTAATGACATATTTAATCCAAAATGTCATCATTTCAACATGTAACCAATATAAAAAAGCTATTGAGATACAGCCCAATTTTTTGTACCGAGTCTCTGAAACCATGTCTTGCACACGTAGGGCACACCAGTCGCATCTCGGTGCTCAATGGCCATGCGTCCGGTGGCTCCCACACTGCACCCTCCGTGCTGGGCTTTCCGCAGTGAATCTGGAGCTTGGTGCAGAGTGGAGTTCGGTTCTGGGAGGAGAGGGGACATAGCTGTGGCCCCTACGGAGGCAGGACAGGGGTCACCGCTATTGTGCGGGAACTTTTGGCCTCAGACGTGTGAACACATTGCAGACGGGTCATGAGAATTCTCGCTTCATATTACACAGTGTTTGTAAAAACAAAATATCATACTTTAAAAAGATATTAGCTTGTAAGAACATGTAATAAATAACAATGGGTCATTCAAAATGCAATGGGTATTTAATTTTAAAGCGTGCCTTTAATGTTTATGTAAAGCGTTTTTTGTACTTGTTCAGTAGAAACTTATCTGGCCACTGGGTAAAGCTGCCATAAAACTACTGGTCCACAGTGTGTTAAGAGAAGGCGGCCCAGGGTACTCAGGCACAAATGGACAACCAGACCAACGACAGTCGGATGACGTTCGCTTCACGGCCCAACGCAGCTAATCTAATGCGCGGAAACATGTGGTGTGGCCACACAATGGCCGGGGTGGCACAGACGGTGGCGTCTCTGGCCTTCCATCAGGAATGTGACTGTCATGCACAGAGCTAGTCTGGAACTTTGCACAAGAACATAAAGCATGTGAGGACGGGAAGACAGAACGAACGTGTATCAAGGAAAAGGCTTCCAAGTTGGCTGAATTCTCACCATCGTCTGGTGCTAGTCGGCATTAGTTGGACAAGTTACCAGAGGGCGATCCTGAGCCTTGGTTGACTCCTTGGGAAGTGCATTACCTAAACCTAACTTTCTAAGCGATCAAATCAGTGTTTCCAAGGTAAGTACGGACATAATCTTTTGCTAATAAAGCCTCGAGGCAAGTGTTTTTAACAAAAAGTTTATTACCAAAATACAATATTAAAGTCAATACATGACAAATTTCTATAAAGCAAAATAAATTATTCTAACATTGTACAGTATTCCCGAAGGCAGCTGGCGCACGGCAGCCCTGCCTCACTGGTGAGCGGGCAAGCTGTTCTGCCGTGAACACAACCCTGGAGTTTCGGGCATTAAGGCATGCAGCTCGCTGTGCAGGATAATTTCACAAAATGCAAACCATCCCATTTTACACATTGTCAGGATGAACTGTAGTCTTCCCATGTCAGTGTTCCAGAAATGTTCAGACTTTGGCTATAGAAGCAATGCTATAGTGTTACACAATACTCATTTCTTAAAAAAATACATGTATTCATGTCCTTGAATAGCAAACTCAAATTTCTATTAAATATATTTTATAGAATATGACTTAGAGCACCTTGCTGTACAATAAAAAAAGGTTAAATAAGTGACTATGAAAACTGAAAATATACTGAGTCTCACCAGGGGGTCTGCTCGTCTTTGCCAAGCCTCGTACACTGCAGGAGATGCAATGTAAACGTGGATGCCCTCCCCTGCTCTGTGAGGAAAGAGAAGGAACACCCGGCCACAGACAGCCCCCTCGAACAGGATGCAAGACCTGGGCAAAGGCTGTACAAGTGTCACTACCATGTGGTGCCTCCCGATCGCGGAGTGTTGGCACTTCGGGGCCCGGCCAGTGTGTTCTGGATTATTAGAGAAAGAGAAAACAGTGGAGCCCTGAAAAGTGTTACTTATAATGGGCACATGCATCACCTTCCCCTCCCCACTGTTGCCTTATCCAGTAAGTTTATTTGAAAAACTATTTTCACTATCAACTCTTAGAATTATCAAGTGTTCAGAGTGGAGAACAAAAGGTCTTGTAGGGCAACAGGTCAGAGCCAGTAAATAAAATGTTACTCCTAGAAAGGGGACTCCTGCTGGTTACTTTAATGCCTATCTCTTCCTCAATTACCACGGCATGTTTAGTCTTTAGAAATACTCCATTGTCTCTGGGAGGGATATTTAAGGCTGGCCACAACCGATAGGAGAATGCCTTGGGTATGTGGTTCCCCCTACAGGCCAGGAGAGAGCTTCTGAGGATTGTCTAGGCCAGATGAACATTAAAAGACTTTGAACTTCTGAGCTAGTTTTTATCCCATGAGCTAGGGATACTTTAAATCCATGATTCCAAATGAAAAGTTTAAGTAATAATCAATGGAAGTGGTTTAAGGAAATAAAGAAAGATAATTTAAAAATTCATTGTTGAAATTGTTGGGATTTTTTTTGGTTATTCGTATTTTCCAAATGATCACACAAAATTAAAGCCAAGGAAAATTTATAAAACAAAATTCTTCCAAGGTTGTTAATTTTCAGAATCAGAGATTTTTGTAAAGAAATAGTGGGTCATAGCTACAAGCAATGGAGGAGTGGACTGAGTGGTAACAATGTAAGTGATAATAACGGAACTATTTAAAATATTTTATTTGAATTTGAAAGGAAATGAAATTCTGAAAACAGGAGGAAATGACTATAGATCCACATGCAGTGGACCTGGGGAATAGAATTTACGATAAGTAAATTTGTTTTATCTTTGTGAGATCCACACATCAGGAATGGAGGAACTTTCATAAGTAACTTACAGCTTCCATCCCTTCTGTGTGTTTAAGTCATCAGGAAAGTGAAATGATGCCTGGCCCCACTGAAATAGTTCCTAATGCTACTTAGAAATGTTAACTCGCTCAGGTTACACCTGGACTTTGGGAAGAGCATTCTTCCCTAAAACGTGAGCATCACATTCAAAACCTGTCTTCCCTGTTTCCCGCTGATCGGCGCCAGGGCAGGAGCCGTTCAGGAAGAGCACCAGGAGGCGGCCCGCACGCACCGCCTCCAGCTATGGGCACAGTTTACTTCAACCAAACAAGGCGTAAGCAAATGGCCAAACCACCAACACAAAACAGAACACGCATCCTCTCGACTGGGAAACGCGTGAATACAAAACGTGTAAAAAATGAGAAGTCACATCTATTTGACGGCGTGCTCTAAAGCAAAAGCCCACGGGAGGAATTTCCTAGAAAGGAGAAACCCTGCAGACTTGCCAAATGTTATTTGTTATTAAAAGCTTTAGAAACAACCCGAATTTTCACATTTTAGCCACATGTGGTTACATCTCTTATGTTAAGTGTAACTAAATCAATGAACTCCAGGAAAGAAAAACCTCAAAGCCCTCATTTTAAGGGATTCTGGATCTTACCCTTCTTCCCCCAAATGATTATTATTTAAGAGATCAAACTATTAAAAAAAGAGAGAGATCAAACTACTTCCAAGGTCTGATGATCAAGTGCAAATCTGTATACTTTGTTGTTTTAATAGACTCTTCCAGCTAAACGCTCGGACTGGTTCAGAGGAGGGGCAGACGGCTGTGGAATTGCTGAGACGCAGTGGTGACCGTCAGACCCCGGACGGAACCTCTGGGGAGCACCTGCCCTGGGCTGAGACAGTGTTAGGAACCCCAAGGTCTGGCTGAGTCTAGTGCCCACAGGAAACCCTGTAAATTTAAGACAGTCATTTACTCCTTAAATGCCTATTTACAATCTAGGGGTAGATTCAGAGGTCTCCTTTCTTTCCTTTTTTTGAAGGAGTAAAGCAACGTTTCTGAGACTGAGTATCTGACACGTCCTCTCCGTTGGGGAAGACTCAGGTAGAATGCTGGGAAGCCCTCCCTGCAGAGCCGCTGTCTCGCTGCAGGAAGACAACCAAGCCCTGCTTGAGACTGTTGCTTTTATAGCAATCGTTTCAGGACAGTTCCTGAAAAACCCTTTCTTAGCTCTTCTGCTTGCATTTCTAGACTGCAATAAGCTTTTAGTAATAAATACACTCAACACTAACAAGAGGTAACAGAGGGTCAATACAGGGTCACATCTTTGCTTCCTCCCCAACCCATTTCCCCTCCCTCAGAATAGAATACTTAAATATTATTGCTGCTCATCCATTCGGAATTCCTTTGATTACATCACACATTTGGTTCCAAAGCCACACCGGTCAGTCCCCCCCTGTGTCTCTGGGCGTGAGGTGAGACGCAGGCGGGCGGCTCTAGCTCGGGTTGAGAGCCGCGCCGGGCTCCTTGTTCAGGATGATGTTGACAATCTCGCCCTCGTGCTCCTTCATGTGATCCAACAGGTTTTCTTTGCTGGTCGATTCGAAACCACAGATACAGCAGCAGAAGAGTAAGACGCAGTACTCCATCCCCGGGGGCGCCGCCCCGGGGTTCTTGTCTAAGCGACACGAGGAGTTACTGGCAGGGCTCAGTTTCTCCCGCTCGGTGGGAGCCTGGGGAGCCGGCTCCGAGGACGACACCACAGTGTCCACACCCCCAGTGGGAGGGTCGGCTCCGTCTTCACTGCTGTTTAACAGAGTCTTTCCAGGGGACTTCCCTAGAGCCCTTAAAGTCAAACAGAGCACCAAACCGTGAGTGGGTTAGAAGGCAGGGCTGAACTTACACGTGACAGCGCAGCCGCGGGGGGTCCGTACCTGCCGCTCTGGGAGATGGCGTCGTTGATGGCCTTGTTCACCTGCTCGTAGTTGTAGTTGCGGTCGCTGGCATGCTTCCACATGTGCGACTTCAGGGAAGGCGGGTGGCTGCACACGTACCCGCACAGAGAGCACCTGCAGCGGGAGGGAGCCATGTCTAGAGGGAGCCCCACCACAGGATGAAAGCAGGGCCCTGTCAGGCACCTTCTGTCAGGTTTCACTGAGACGTCACACAGACCTCCCCACACTGACCTGTGCTGCACCCAGGACCCCAGGGGAGAGCTGGCACATGGAACAAGTTTCCCTCGGGGTGCGAGTCCGAGCCCAGGCCCGGCACCCTGTCTTGCCGGCCCCCTGGGGTGGGAACCGGGTTCCTCCGGCTGCCGGCGGAATAAGCTGACTACAAAAGCAGCGGTTTATGCTCAAGAGGCCAAGTTCACTTAGGAGTAATGACTTCTATCTATCAGCACATCTCCATCAATTGCGAATGCTGCTATTTCCTGAAAACTACTAGAATTAGCCTCTATGGAAAATCAAGTAATAAAGTTAAATGATCTTGTTCTGCACGTGATACATTTCCAGAAACAGGATCTTTCATAGGGAATTTTACTGCTTTTAAGCGTTAGGACTCTTGCTGGAATACTCAGGGCCCAAATGACTGAAAATTGCTGTGACGATTCTATGAAACTGGAACCCGGAACTGACAGCCACGGGCATCGTCCCTCATTCCAACCAGACACAAGGCCTGTGGGCCGGACTCCAGCTTAGAACTCAGTCTTTAACAATTAAACCACTTGTGAAAGCTCCTTAGCATTTAACCTGTGTTCAAACAAGTGCATGAGTGTTTAATAACTTCTACTTTTTCCTTCATGATAAAGTGCTGCAGCACAAGCATTAGAACCAGGGTCGGCACACTCACCTGTACGGCTTGTCCGAGTTGTGGGTCCGTCTGTGGTTTCTGACACCAACGTATGTTGTACTTGTGTAATCACACACGTCGCATCTGTACTGTTTCTGGACTGAAGACTTATTCTCTGGACAAGGCATTTCAGAGTTTTAGTGATTTAGATTCAAATGGCTGCACTTACATCCCACCGTCAATGAGCATTTACACCAGCGGTGCTAATACCTCCATCCAGGCTCTCGAGATCCAGTTAACAAGCCAGAAATGGCTCACAGGTCACCTGGACCTGGACCACCGCAGAAAGGGGACATCCCCCGACCGGGAGACCTAGGTCCACTGGTTGGTCTTTCATAACCTGCACAAAATCTAAAAGAATGGACTTGATGCCAGTGCCCGCTGACTACTAGCAGCTGAATTAACCACAGACACACAGTTAATGTGAAAGGTATTAGTCTAATCAACATGGGCACATTGTCTTAGGGAAACAACGATTTGCCAACAAGCTATAATTTAGCATCAGAATCCAATAATCTAAAGTGTGGCTACAAAGTCCCTGTAACAAACGGAATACAATAGCCTAGTGCTTTCTCAGTCTGTGGGTTTCCTCTGTTTATGACTGTCAGCTGTCAATGCAACAACCAGGGAAAAGCAACTGTCTGCTAGTACACACCATGGAACGCTGTGCAGTGACCTCCAGCACCCTGGCAGGTCACGAGGACAAAGGTTACAACAACGTGAATATGCAGCTCTCCGAAGCCACAGGCCACTGAGCCCGGAAAGCCTGGACAGGGCTGTGACGTGAGCCCCGGAAATGGCTCCTGAAGATGCCCAACCCTTGTTTACTCTGTGAGCACCGAGTCCACAGCATCCACAGCCCGACTGCTCTGCACTCCAAACAAAGCAAGCACAGCCACGGGAGAGGGCAGAGTGGGAGGAAGCTTAGAGACAACCCGCCACAGCACAGGGAGGGGAAGTGCAGGTACAAAAGCAAATCCACACTAAGTTTTAACAAAACAAAGAAAACCCTTAATGTAAAGCTTTGTAAAATGGGTATTTTCTTTTGCTAGTACCTACTTTTGCCAGGCAGAACAAAATGTCCTAATATCCTGGTATAAATCCATTACACTAATAGACACACTAACCATGATTATAATCTAAGTATTACTCTTCATTGGTAGGTAACAATTTGGACTTGACTATAAAGGGCACTGTCCCTGAAAAACAAAGCATGGGTGTCGGGTCATGGTTCTGTGTGCGCAGCACTGCAGGTCAGTCCCAACGAACAAAAACACCACGAAAAGCTGCTGCACACAGGAGAGGCTGTGCTGCCTTGCGCGGCCTTTTCCAGGGAGAAGGCACTGGGTTTCAACTCAAGACCTTGGGCTTCATCTTTGCTGCCAGCACTGTGTGATCACAGGCAAATTATTTCCCCTCTGGGGACTTGGCTTTCTTATCTACAAAATGGAGTGAGCGGAGGATTCCAGTGCGGTCAGCACGCCAGGGGCACTGTGTTCTTCCTCGGCCGCACCGTACGTTCCTGTGAAGTCTCTGACGTGTCCTAGCTGCTAACTCCTTGCGGGCAGGAACCTGCCTGCTGTGTTTACAGCGACTCCCCAGGGCTTGACAAATTGCAGGTTTGCAACAAAGAACAGTTTACTTAAATCTCACAAGGAAGCACACATGGAGGTACTCTGCCCGCGGCTGTTGGACACCATCTGTCTTGGTCACTGGTCTCAACGGTGCTGCCGCCTTTACCGTACTCCCGGCACCAGGGCCAGCTCAGATGGTCCTGACTTGGGCAGAACACACGTCCCAAGTACTGTGGCCCTGCGCCTCTGAGCTGAAACGTGCCTGAGGTGCCCGTGCCGTCCTAATGGGCAGAGACGGACCACAGGGGCACACGCCTCCTTCTTCTTTAATGAGACCACGAAATGGTTCAGGTTTCAGGGAACGCCAATGACTAATTCTTCCCTTCTCTGCGAGCTAGGAACTTGTTCTTTGGTTTGACTACCAGATTTTGAAAGTTCAACGCTGAATGAATAAAGCGCCCAGGAGGTCATCTGTCATCTGAACTGTCACTCTCTGATGACAGAGATGGGCGAGTGGGCCGGTGGGGAAGGCATGGCCTGCATGTGAAATCCACACTCGACCCCAGGCGGCTACAAGATGGACTGTGGCAGAGACACTAAGGTACAGCTCGCCATACAATAATGAACTGGTTACTTTAACTTTGAGCTCATGTGTTAATCTTTCCATTAAAATAGTGATTTTAATTTGTTAATGGCCCATTTGGACAGTCAGGTGACTGCTTTAAAAGACATATTCCAGCCCTGTGCTCACCACAGGCGGAGCCACTGAGCAGGACTGCCTTTACCCGCTGTTAGGGATTCACGGTCCAAAGCTACCAAATGCTTTAAGGCTCCTTCACAGGGATGAGGAGCACAATGTGTAGTGAGAGGAGCACTCGGGTTATTCTGCAGAAAGGAAGCAAACTGTTTAGCTCAGCCATCTCTGCAGAGGCAGATGCTCTGTCATAAACTCCTTTTGTCTGGGAGACGTTTGCAGGGGTGACAGCTGCTTGACAGGGGATGCGGGTGTCAGCACAGTTCTCTCAGAAACATTCCCGCGTCGGTTATGCATGCTGGGGTATAATGTAATGAACATTACAGGAAAACATTTCACTCTGCAACTGTTTCTAACTTTAATTCTTAGGAAATCTAAAAAGGAAAGTCACCCCAATATGTTTTATTTCCCATAAACACGATGCACCACACTCAAGACACTTGGAGCTTATCAATTTAAGTGAGCTGACGCAGGGAAGCGCAGCTCAGCACCGTCAGCCCAGATTCTCCGGATGTGGCACCCGCCTTTTCATGGGACGCGAGTGAAATCTTTTGATTCTAATATTCCTATTAGCCGAGACTTGACTGAGTGGTACCTAACTCGTACATAAAAAGATCTGGTGCCGTGTTTTAAAGAGAGTGCAGATGACATCTGGCAGCAACCTTGGTTACGATAAGATCACAGCAGGGGCCTCAGTTAGAGTCTGGGGGGGGGGGGCGGCCATCTGTGAGCTGTTCTCTCGGGTCAGCTGGGCTGGGGGAGGGGCAGGCTGCTGCTTCGATGCGGCTTCCCTGGTGCGGGCCCGGCACCTAAGGTTCCTGCTGCCCTTGGCTCTTACAGGACAGCAGAAATGTCAGTGTCAGAGCTCCCTACCAGGTGAAGCTGAGGACTTACTCACAGTACTTCGTTCAGGACTCAGACTGTCCCCAGGAGACCAGAACCCACAGTGCAAAAGAGAGGAGGACAGATGCAGCTTTAGTCCTGAAACCCCCCACCTGACAGACTGCTCAGGGTGCTTCTCACCTGGGATGCGAGTCGTGCAGCCAGTGGGAATGTGCACCTACCTTCCTGGGCACACTTCGCCTCCGCGCTGTCCCTGGGAACCCTGGGCTCAGCAGAAGCCACGACTGACAGGGGATCTGGAAGGCTGTGTTGCTCCCTCTCATGGCTCCTCAGCTGACTCTGGACACGAGAGAAATGAACAGCAATTCCTAATGAACTCACTGCAGTTACAGGAGCCTGTGCTTCCGTGGCCTGGAGCCTAGAACCCAATACCAACGCTTCAAAAGCAAATGGGCCTCAGCACTATCCCAGCCTTTGGCGGTTTGTGGGAAGAACTGCCCGGGGGGAGCAGCAGGAAGGCAGTTCTCTCCAGGTCCTGGCGTGGTGTGTGCACACTCAGCACCATGGACAGGCCCAGGGAGGGGGCGGAGGGCTCCCAGAGTCAGTGCTTTCACAGAAAGAAGTCCCACCAGCCACTGAGGCCTCCTCCACTGCATCCCAGGAATCAAGAGCATAGTCGCTGCAGGCACCCCTGGGACGGGCCTGGCCCCACCCAAATGACCCCCCTGTCCAGTGGCCGAGGCCATTCCAGATCCCAGGAGGCCATCTGAGTGGAGCTGAGTCTCACTCACAGGCCCTTCCTTCCTGAACCCTCTCACTACCAGCCGACCCTGGGTCGCCTGAGAGAAAGGCCACGTCCCGTTTCCCAGTGGGCCCTTTAGGACAGCAAAAAACAGCCCCCGCCCCCCATCAACTGGCATCTTGAAGAAAAAAGTTCTAAATCACGGACTCAAAAGAATGCAAGTTTCCTTTACAGAAACAGCATTTCATGCTGGCTGTTGGTTTCGAGGTCGCACATAAGGTGAGAGTCACATAGTCAAAGTGACCTTGAAAGTCCCTTAAACTGCCCTCACAGCTAACACGTGGCTCTGTCCACGGCACTGTCCTCATCCAGCCCATTCTTCCTTCTGCAATGAAATGAGTCCCTGTGGGCTGGCTGCGCAGCCTTTGGAGTGAACAACGTGCATTTCAGGGCCGTGTGTTGCTGATGTGGGTTACATCTGTGCATCCATGTGTATGTATGCTGTCCCCCGCGTTATATCTGTGCATTCATGTAACAGCCCCCTGCACTGTAAAAGCCACACATTCTGAAGAGACTCTAAAACACTATCTAAGGCCAGAGATTGCCAGGGAGAGTCCCACCCCAGGAGTCCCGATGACCCAGATTTCAGTCCCTATTGTCTGGGCCAACTATCAAACCTTCCTGGGTGTGTTTCCCGATCGACCGAATGTGGGGGGACTGCACCCACCAGGCCTGTCCCTGCTCTGAGCTGGGGTTCCCAGGAGCACGGGGCCGCGCACCTTATAGGGGAAGGCCTCGGCGCAGCGCTTGCACTGGTACAGCCGGGCCTTGCAGTGGTGGACCATGTGGCTCTCCAGCTCCTTGCTGCTGTCGGCCACGTGCTCACAGATGGGACACTGGTAGGGCTGCCTCTGCCGGTGGACCCGCAAGTGCTGCTTGATGTAGCCCTTGTTCCCGCTCGCGTAGTGGCAGAGGCGGCAGCGATAGGGCCGCTCGGCGTTGGGGATGTACTCCACCACGCCGCCACCTGACAGGCCGGCCTCGCCGCTGGGCTGGCACTGGGCGTTGTCCTGCAGCTCCTTCAGGATGTCCTCATCCGAGGCGTTCTGGTCCGTCCTTTCCCGCAGCTTCTCAATGACAGTGAGCAAGGACACGCTGATGCCCGTCTTCACCTGCCCGTCGGACAGCTCCTGCCTGCCCTCCGGGAGTGTCACCAAGGGGCAGCTGCTTTGGTTAAAACTCGTTAGTCCATTTGAAGCGTTTTTAAGTGGTGACATCATTTTAGAATAGGCTGCCAAGGTGCTATCCACCTGCCTCTGTCCGGTGTCTGGGTCTAAGAGGTTGACGTTCCCGTAGTGCCCAAGGTTGGCTCTCGTGAGCTCGGCGGCTCTGATGGGCATCGTGACCAGGGCTTCTGCGGCCAGCGAGTGCAGCCGAAGGGACTCGGAATTCGTCCTCCTTCGGCCCGGGGGGGCGTTCTCATCAGGGGCCAGTCCCTGATGGATCAGCTCGCTCTCCTTCTTCTCTGTGTTGCTCCAGCCTATGATCAGCCCCCCGATGTCGACGGTACACTGATCGGCACGATAAGCCTCCCCTCTCCCCTCACAGCCTGTCGGGGGCCCTGGAGGGGCCGGGAGGCCCCCCTCCTCCAGCGCAGCGTCCACGAGGAAAGGCTTCTGCGACCCGGGCTCCTCGGCGCCAGGCAGACGCTCCACGATCACGTTCACGTGCCCTTTCTTGTTGGGGCTGCTGCTGATGATCTTCTGTGCCGACGAGAGGAGGCTGTCGGCCATCAGACTCTCCTCCGCGTCCGAGATCACCTCCAACATGTCTTCCTCGTGGGGCCCAAGGGCCACCGACCGGCCGAGACCCGAGTCTTGCTCCGCACCCGGCAGGGCCGATGCCGAGGACAGAGGCTCTGAGCTGCAAATCTGCACCTGTACCGCCGGCCCGTTGTGGATGCTCAGCTCGTTCTCTCCGATGGCGATGACCACGGCATCAACCCCGCCTGGTGCAGCCGCCACTGAGGAGCCCAGCAAGCCCAGGGGCTCGTTCTCATTTTCAAATATCGGGTAGGAGCAGTCCACCTCCCCGGCATGCTTCCAAGCATGTGTCTTCAACATTCGCTGCTGCCCGCACGTGTAGCTACAAAATAAGCACCGGTACATGCCGTACTGTTCGTAGGCGTACCACTTCCTCCTCCCCCGGTCCTTCTCGGAGGCGGCGGGGACGACGTGCGTCTGTGGACTGCGCACGCTAACGGAGAGGTCGGGAGTGCCTTCGCGCTTCCGCTCTGTGGGTCTCAGACACATGGAGCTGGAGGGGCTCACGCTCGGTTCGGCTTTGGGTTGCGTGGGGCCGTGGGCATAGTTTTCGTGGTCATTCACCACGTGGGCTTCGAGCTCCTCTTGGCTTCTGGAGGTGACGTGGCACTCGGAGCACATCAGGATCACCTCATTCTGCGGGCCGTGCTGCTTGATGTGGTCCCTGAGCACAGAGAAAGATGAGGACAGGAACTTGCAGAGGCTGCACTGGTAAGACATCGCCTTCCCGTCGTTCGGGGCGAGAGGGTCCGGGCCGAAAGGGACTGGCGACGGCTCGGCCCTTCTGATGTCAGCAACAGGGGGCGGGGCTCCTTTTGCTGGAATCTCACCGAGCTCCTGGGCTTCAGGAGAGCTCGTCCCAGCACTTGAACGTGAGCGCTTCTTCCCAATTAAAAGACATTTTTGTGACTTTTCATGTTCCACTATCTTGCTCAACTTCTGGATAACATGGATTAATGGATCTGTTTTAGCTGAACTTTGTCCATCAATTTCCAGTGAAGAACTGATGACAGTGTCGGCCGTCAATAGAGCTTCCTGTTCCCCAATGTCTGGCACCAACATGGCGACGCTGCTGCTCACCTCCATATCTAGAAAGGGGGACAGACCACAGAGAGATGCCAGGTCACACTGGTTGAACGCACACAGCCATTCCCAGGCAGAACCACCTTAAGTCACTATGAAATACCATCCCTAGAGCCGATACATGACTGACGCAACTTCTTACACCAAATATAATTGTAGTTTTTCTTCTCTGCGAGCCTTTGGAATTGTGAACATATAGTAATTAACTTACCGGGAAGGGCACAGTGAGCTCTGAGACGTACTATGCAATGAAACTAAAGACAATAATCCAGTTCCTCCTTTTACTTCCTTCATCTTCCCGAAGAGAAACCACAAACTACGCTGTGGGCTTTCCAGAGGTCATATTAGTGGTCAGCTATCACTCAGACATGTTATTTTTTTCCCCCTGAAAGGAAAGGGCCATCGAAGACGGAAACAATTGACATCCTAGTTATCCACATACGCACGTGTCCTTAGAAAGTGATATGTTTGGCCAAGGGAGTCACTCAGTAGAAAATGCAATCTCGTTCAGCCTAATCTTCAACACTGTTTCCTGACAGCACGTACGTTCATTTCAAACACTCCCTCTGGCTTAAAATGAGATTATCTGTTGACTTGGATCTGTTTTTTAGGTTTAGGCTTTTTTTCCCAGCAACAAGTTTTGCTCTTCCATATTTCAGGTGCATTTGGGAATCTCACAACATTCAATAAACTCCAGCCAAAGTTTTAGTGGCCCTAGCTGTAGACCAAAGACCATACTATTTCAGGAGTTGAATCGTGGCCCCGGCTAGGACTGTACCCAAACTCCCGCCAGACCCACAGTGCTCAGGCGGCTCCGCACGGTCTCCCCTACCCACTCCCAGCAGCCAGGGTGCTCCGTACTTCCTGCTCCCAGGCACACTAGCCTTCCGTCTGGGCCCACATCAGGCAGAAGTGCAAACAGTTACCCCTGGCTTCTCTAGTGCCCTTCTCCCCCACCCCCTTCCCGACCGACCACACTCACACCGGGATGCGCTCCAGCCGTGACAACAGGATGACCACCCAGCAATCCGGGGCCTGTGGCCCTACAGCCACTCTCTCCTGAACAACCTGAGGGCATTACCTCCCAAAAGACGACAGATGCTCCTCGACTGACTAGTCAGAAAGCACGCTCCACACTACTCTGTGGGTCGGGGTTGTTGACCTTCGAGACCGTGACTGGCCGGGGCTGCCACTGCCCAGAATCAGAGTGTCTTTCATACACACATTCCCAGCCCAGGGAAAGATCAAAACTCAAAGTCTGGAGCCTACCAGACATACAGCTTTGCACCATCATCAAGTAGACAAATGCTGTCTGGGGACCATCTGCATTCCCTTACGAAGGTCTTTCTCAGGCAGAAAGAACAAGTGTCTTAAGTCTTTACACTCAACCTCAATCACTAAGAGGGACCGGTGACTGAGAGAACAATCTGTTTCTCTAGGAAAACCCTGTGTGACTTTCCAAGTCACGTTGCTGCCTGTGAACTCCACATGTTTAGGTCAAGGGAGCTGTGGCTCCTCACCTGACTACGGATTCCCTTCTGGGCCATTCTCAGGCTTTACTTCTTTCGTTCAGTTGTTAACTACAAACTAATGATAGGAACCCTGGAACATTCAATTTCTTGCACAGACTTGGGGCTCTACTGCAGACCTAAGGCCTCCTTTCCAGGAAATGCGACCTCAGCAAGCTGACTGATAACCCGGAGGCTAGCTTTGCACACCCACAGGCTATCCCTCTTCACTCCTGGACATGACAGGAGGGGGGCAGAGCATGCCAACTGCTCCCTGTGCAATGAGGAGGAGGAGGAGGAGTTATCTCACCTCAAGCAAAACACATTACGAAACAAACTGACAAGAGACTCACGCGGAAAGCCGTGTGCTCAGGGAAACCTGTAGCAGGTGCCCCATCTCCTGGGCATTTACGTGTCTCACTGCAGAGGCTGCCCATGTCGGGGATAAGTACAGAAATGGCATCTTTAAGACAGACAGGACAACATCAAATACACCGAGAAACACCTGAAAAACCAGTTTGGGGACACTTGCAAAAATCTAAAAAAAAGTTAAGTCTCAGTAGAACAAAGTCTCTGCTAATCAGATTAGATAACAGCTTGTAATAAAGTCTACAGAGAGAGTCAAGTTGACCTTAAGGCCAACTCTAAATTTTCACAGAGTTCACTTAGGCCACCAATGTGCATAAGCATATGGGACTGCATGTCAAGTGAAGTAAAATTTACCTGGATAATAATAGCAACATGGACTGTGCTACTCTGCATACTATGCATGGTCTCCAAGAGGTCAGTGTAAAAGCACCTACAGAAAACGTTACCCGGACGGGAGGCTGGTGGGAGAGAGTGAGGATTAAAGAAGATTGGCAGATTGTGTAACTGGAATGATGAGCAAGTAGGGGCTCACTGTACTATTCTACTTGTGCCAGGCTTAAATTTTTAAAATAAAAAGTTATAGAAAACATTGTTATGTGAAAGGCGCCAAGCAAAGTACCAGGAAGAATGAAAAACATTCAAAGTTACAGTTCTCACAGTTTAAAACTGAGTTGAGAGAATAAGACAAACCTGGTTAGAAATTTAAAAGAATGAACAGCTTTTAAACAATGTGACAGTACACAAGGTAAGATCGTCCGAAACAGCCAATGACCAAATCCTAACAGAGAGAGGTAAGCAAGGCTCCGTGAAGAGGTGAGATTTTAACATTTATTGGGCACCTACAACGCGCCAGGCTCGGTACAGGAGACCGTGAGGATGATGGGGGTGGGGGCGGGTCCTTGCCCTTGACAGTGCCTGTGCAGATTCTGTCTATCGCTCGTGTAATTCCTGGTAATGCGAACCTTTTTTTTCCTTTTTAAATCTTTATTGTTGCAAGAACTACGTATGTCCCCCCCTTGACCTCTTCTATCCTGCCCCTGGTAATAGTAATCTCTTTTTTGCAGACCAGGCATCTGAGACTCACAGACATAAAGTAACAAATGGCTTAAGAATTGGAATCCAAGGGTATATGAGTCTAAATCTATCCTTCCTCAACACACCCACTTCCTTTTGTTTCTCCGTGAGAACAAAGTGTCTAAGAAGTGACACGGAAAAGAAACAGGCTCTCCCTGCTAGTCTGTATCAACCTGTAAGCTGTCTGACCCTTGGCAGGGTCTAGTGACGCTGCAAATCAGGAAGCCGCAGTGCCTTTCGGTGACCGAAAGGTTCCGTGGCTGCTCGGCGGCAGCCCGGTGTCTTGCAGGTCAATTCCTGCAGCTCCTCGGGTCCGTCCTCAAAACCCGGCTGCGGCCGAGGACAGTGTGAGTGTCAAACTCTCTCCTCCTTGGAGAGGCAAAGTAACGACTTGTTGGGCAGCGGGACATTTCTCAATCTTCCACGGGAAAAAGAACCCGATGACGGGGCGCGCGTTTACATAACTTACCGAACAAGGAGGGTTTCGGACTTGGTGTAAGTTATAACGAAATGCCTCTGGGAACTTCTCCCGTGATTGTGAATTTTATGCTTTAGCTCCGAACTTATCTGACTCGAAATGCTATTATTGGTTTTGCTGGTAACCACTTTCTAATGAGTAAGGAGCGATGATCCGCATACTGTTTTTTAAATCTTAACTGAAAACAACCTAATAGCGGTGATTCTGCAAACTTCACGCACTTCCGCGAGCTGGCGGGCGGT